GATTTATGACAAATGTAGTTTTGTTTGATTTTGTTTATGCATGTTGTGAGCGGTAGTTCCTTGATTTAATTTGAAAGCTTTGTCAACCTTCTCTGTATGCATTCCTGTCTTTACTGTATTTTTTTCTTCTCTTTCTGTCTTTCATGTGTCTCTGTTTATCATTCACGCACGCTCTCTCACTCTCCTTAATAATGTCTCTACTCTCATACTCCTTTTCACACACATATGTTTATTGGCACCCACATCCTGCTTGTTTTGCAGCTCTTGTTTAGACATGTTTGCCCTTTTTTGTCTAATTTCACAACTGTGCTCACTCTTACACATGTAGTTTGCAGACACACAGTCATTCTTTTTCCTGCACATAAACCTGTCTTCTCTTACATACATCCACATACACTAAAGCCCTTTCTTCTGCACATAGACCTGTCTTTTCTTACATCAGCTTAAGCTTAAGCTTTTTCTTCTGCACATAGACCTTATTTTCTTACGTCAGCTTACACTAAAGCTCTTTCTCTTAGACATAGAACTGTCTTCTCTTACATACATCCACTTACACTAAAGCCCTTTCTCTCACACACAGACCTATAGCCACACAGACCTACACTGAAGCTTTGTCTCCTCCACACAAACCTATCTTCTCTTACATACATCCACGTACGCTAAAGCTCTTTCTCCTACACATAGACCTGTCTTCTCTTTCACACATCAACAGACACTGAAGCTCTTTCACTTGCACATAGACCTATTGTTTCGTAGTTTCATCCACATACACTTAAGTTCTTTCCTCTACACATAGACCTGTCTTCTCTTTCACACATCAACAGATGCTGAAGCTCTTTCACTTGCACATAGACCTATTGTTTCGTAGTTTCATCCACATACACTTAAGTTCTTTCCTCTACACATTGACCTGTCTTCTCATACATACATCCACATACACTGAAGCTCTTTCACTTGCACATAGACCTATCTTCTCTTACATACATCAACATACAATGAAGCTCTTTCACTTGCACATAGACCTATCTTCTCTTACATACATCAACATACAATGAAGCTCTTTCACTTGCACATAGACCTATCTTCTCTTACATACATCAACATACAATGAAGCTCTTTCACTTGCACATAGACCTTTCTTCTCTTGCACACCTCAACAGACATTGAAGCTCTTTCTCCTACACATAGACCTGTCTTCTCTTGCACACCTCAACAGACACTGAAGCTCTTTCACTTGCACCTACACCTGTTGTTTCATAGTTTCATCCACATACACCTAAGCTCTTTCTTTTACACATAGACCTGTCTTCTCTTACATACATCCACATACAGTTAAGCTCTTTCTCTTGCACATAGACCTGTCTTCTCTTATATACATCCACATACACCTAAGCTCTTTCTTCTACAAATACTGCAACTCTCTCATACATAGACTTGTCTTTTACTTGCATCCACATGCCTTCTCTTACATATGTCCACATACACTGAAACTCTTTTTCTCTCAGATACATCTGTGTCTTCTCTTACATATAACCACATATAATGAAACTCTCTCACACATAGACCTGTTGTCTTTTACTTGCATCCACATGCTTTCTCTTACATACGTCCACATACACTGAAACTCTTTCTTTCATACCTGTCTTCTCATACATCCATACATACACATACTTTCTCTGACACATACGTGACTGTTTTCTCTTACATGCATCTCCATATAATTAAACTCATTTACACACACATCATGTCTTCTCTCACACATACAGTCTGTCATTTGTTTATATACATCCACACACATAATCTCTTTTTTTACATACACATGTCTCTTCTCTTTCAATCACACAAACACCTTTCTCTTCTCCTAGAATCACATCTCTATCTTCTCAGTTTTTCTCTTACATAAACACATCTTTTCTTATATACGTCCACACATTCAGTCTCTTTTTCTAACACACAAGCACACACCTCTGTCTTCTTTCACTCACACAAACACATTTATCATCTTATACATGCCTAGTAGAATTGTTTCGCTAACACATACACACGTTTTTTTAAAAACGTCCACACAAGCTGACGCTTCTAACATTGTTTGCCTCTCCTGCTGGTGTGGGTTCCCAGGCCCTAATGTAGAGAAAACAAGAATAGACCCGCTGCCTCCCCTAAAGCGTGCTGTGAGAATCGACTAATTGGGAGCTTCCGTTGAAGTGCCTGAGAGACAAGAAACCAACAGGCTGCATATAAATGAGTCAGATCTGTCAAAAGGTTCTGGAACAGGACTGGAGTCCAGAAGTGGACAACTGACCAGAACTTTCCCCCGGAGTTGACAGCTGGTGAACACAAAGATGAAGCTGATTTGTCTCTCCTTCTGTGTCTTGTATCTTTCTTTACCTCTCATTCATTATCACTGTGTGCTTTAGAAACAAGCCAAATGTCCCTTTCCATGTTGTCAGATATAGTTGGTACATACTATTTATCCCATATTTGTATAGGGCTCAGTCCAGCATAACATGCAACTACTAAAAAGCTCAAAAGGAAGGGATGGGGAGTGAAAAAGATGTGCATAATTACAGCCGAACATTCTGATCAAAATCTTTATCAGAGGGAATTTACAGAGTGCTAAATATGACATAAAATTTAACCAAAAATTTTATCAGGAAGGTGGGGTGGGGGGGGGGGGGGGGGTTAACAAGCAAACATTTTGATCTAAGTCTTTATTGGCAGAGTGCTTAACACAACACAGACTGTGACTGGAAAACTCAGTGGTGAAGTGAGCAGAGTTTCTAAACAAGGTCAACATAAAACCAAGAAATAATGGGGGGGGGGGGGGGGGCGCGCGGCATGAAGGGCTATATTACAAAATGAAATAAGTAAGAAAAAACATAGGGGTAGAAATGTTACATAAATTAATGAAATTAAATATAGCTTTGTTTTAGTCCAATTTTATGTTGTATTTACCACTCCCTATCATCCGCTTGACTGCAATCTATTCCCTGTTTATGTCACCATAATCCTATAGACCAGTGTTTTCCAACCTTTTTTTTTTTGGGTGCCATGCCCGACCTCCTAAGCCGTTCTCCAATTATTTCCCCCCCGCCCTTTCCCCCACATCTAGAGGGGGAGTCCATTTTCGCATAGTGCCCCCCCCCTCCCCCAACAATAAAATGCCTCTCCCCACCCTTGTAGGGTATGGGCCCCATGTTGGGAAGCACTGCTGTAAACCAGTTGAGACTTGATGGGAGATATTGTCAGTATCTTGGCAACCACTTTTACTGCTTGAACACTTCCTTGTATTGTTTTCTATCTCTTCTGACCTGGAAAAAGTGTCAGTTTATTTTAAACTTTGTCTCTGTGTGGATCCAAACATGTAACCATTTGTTTAGATGGCAGCTAACTGTTGACCATGTGTTCCTCTCTGTGTGGATCCAAACATGTGACCATTTGTTTAATGGCAGCTAACTGTTGACCATGTGTTCCTCTCTGTGTGGATCTAAACATGTGACCATTTGTTTAATGGCAGCTAACTGTTGACCATGTGTTCCTCTCTGTGTGGATCTAAACATGTGACCATTTGTTTAATGGCAGCTAACTGTTGACCATGTGTTCCTCTCTTTGTGGATCTAAACATGTGACCACTTGTTTAATGGCAGCTAACTGTTGACCATGTGTTCCTCTCTGTGTGGATCTAAACATGTGACCATTTGTTTAATGGCAGCTAACTGTTGACCATGTGTTCCTCTCTGTGTGGATCTAAACATGTGACCATTTGTTTAATGGCAGCTAACTGTTGACCATGTGTTCCTCTCTGTGTGGATCTAAACATGTGACCACTTGTTTAGATGGCTGCTAACTGTTGACCATGTGTTCCTCTCTGTGTGGATCTAAACATGTGACCATTTGTTTAATGGCAGCTAACTGTTGACCATGTGTTCCTCTCTGTGTGGATCTAAACATGTGACCACTTGTTTAGATGGCAGCTAACTGTTGACCATGTGTTCCTCTCTGTGTGGATCCAAACATGTGGCCATTTGTTTAATGGCAGCTAACTGTTGACCATGTGTTCCTCTATATGTGGATCCAAACATGTGACCATTTGTTTAATGGCAGCTAACTGTTGATTATGTGTTCCTCGTTATGTGGATCCAAACATGTGACCATTTGTTTAGATGGCAGCTAACTGTTGACCATGTGTTCCTCTCTATGTGGATCCAAACATGTGACCATTTGTTTAGATGGCAGCTAACTGTTGACCATGTGTTCCTCTCTATGTGGATCCAAACATGTGACCATTTGTTTAGATGGCAGCTAACTGTTGACCATGTGTTCCTCTCTGTGTGGATCTAAACATGTGACCATTTGTTTAATGGCAGCTAACTGTTGACCATGTGTTCCTCTCTGTGTGGATCTAAACATGTGACCACTTGTTTAGATGGCAGCTAACTGTTGACCATGTGTTTCTCTCTGTGTGGATCCAAACATGTGACCATTTGTTTAATGGCAGCTAACTGTTGACCATGTGTTCCTCTCTGTGTGGATCTAAACATGTGACCACTTGTTTAGATGGCAGCTAACTGTTGACCATGTGTTCCTCTATATGTGGATCCAAACATGTGACCATTTGTTTAATGGCAGCTAACTGTTGACCATGTGTTCCTCTATATGTGGATCCAAACATGTGACCATTTGTTTAATGGCAGCTAACTGTTGACCATGTGTTCCTCTCTTTGTGGATCCAAACATGTGACCATTTGTTTAGATTTCAGCTAACTGTTGACCATGTGTTCCTCTCTTTGTGGATCCAAACATGTGACCATTTGTTTAGATGGCAGCTAACTGTTGACCATGTGTTCCTGTCTTTGTGGATCCAAACGTGACCATTTGTTTAGATGGCAGCTAACTGTTGACCATGTGTTCCTCTTTTTGTGGATCCAAACATGTGACCATTTGTTAAGATGGCAGCTAACTGTTGACCATGTGCTCCTCTCTGTGTCTAGGGGATGCAGTCTGATTTCATGAGTGGACAACAGGGTCAGAACCAGATGGTCAACATGGGTTCGGGACAGATGTCTATGGTTCCTGGACCAAGAGAACGACGAGTCATCTGGAGTGGTAAATTGCTGTTACAACTCACGTTGAATGAATGAATGAATAATTCAGAAATTGAGATCACTGCAGTCTAAGCATTCCCACAGGTGCTCCGTCCCCTTCTTCAGTAGCCAACGAAGAGTTGACATGTAAATAGTACCAGTTGCAACCTGACTAAAAATCCGTCTCTGTTTCTCGTTCAATGTTTCAATGTTGAATATCTTCCAGAACCTCTCCCTGCCCCCCTTTCCATCGTTGAAATAATCTTTCAGTGTATGGATTCCCTATCTGTACTTTTGCACTGTCCATTTGATTTCATAGAGCCTTCATCTCGTCAGCTTTATCATATAGTATCTCAACGCCTTGAGGAGCGGCAAAAGCTAATCTATCGGCCTGCTTGTTACTTTGCACAACTTAATGTCTTGGAGAGGAAATCCATACTATCTTCGTGTTCTGGTTCTTAGCAAATAATGCAAAACACTGCAGGCAGGACACCAGTTTCAGTTTTACAAATCATGCTTTGTGAGTCTGTTCTTCAGAACTCTCCTACAATACTTGGCAGAGTTAATCTGAAATCGCTGAAGAGCAAAAAAATGAAGAAACACGAGAGTTACAGTTGGGGGTTGGTTACTTTGCCAACATGTGGGTTTATATGGGTAAATATTCAACATCACATTCAGGACATGCCCATACAAACTCTTGTCACCCTCCTCAGCAGCCAGTGAAGAGTCTGTCTTGTGGCCTAGATTACCAGGTCTGCTGCCTTGTGGCCTAGATTAACAGGTCTGCTGCCTTGTGGCATAGATTACCAGGTCTGCTGTCTTGTGGCCTAGATTACCAGGTCTGCTGCCTTGTGGCCTAGATTACCAGATCTGCTGCCTTGTGGTCTAGATTACCAGGTCTGTTGACGATGTGGCCTAGATTACCAGGTCTGCTGCCTTGTGGCCTAGATTACCAGGTCTGCTGCCTTGTGGCCTAGATTACCAGGTCTGCTGCCTTGTGGCCTAGATTACCAGATCTGCCGCCTTGTGGCCTAGATTACCAGGTCTGCTGCCTTGTGGCCTAGATTACCAGGTCTGCTGCCTTGTGGCCTAGATTACCAGATCTGCTGTCTTGATGTGGCCTAGATTACCAGGTCTACTGTCTTGATGTGGCCTAGATTACCAGGTCTGCTGCCTTGTGGTCTAGATTACCAGATCTGCTGCCTTGTGGCCTAGATTACCAGGTCTGCTGCCTTGTGGCCTAGATTAACAGGTCTGCTGCCTTGTGGCCTAGATTACCAGGTCTGCTGTCTTGTGGCCTAGATTACCAGGTCTGCTGCCTTGTGGCTTAGATTAACAGGTCTGCTGTCTTGATGTGGCCTAGATTACCAGATCTGCTGCCTTGTGGCCTAGATTACCAGGTCTGCTGCCTTGTGGCCTAGATTAACAGGTCTGCTGCCTTGTAGCCTAGATTACCAGGTCTGCTGTCTTGTGGTCTAGATTACCAGATCTACTGTCTTGTGGCCTAGATTACCAGGTCTGCTGCCTTGTGGCCTAGATTACCAGGTCTGCTGCCTTGTGGCCTAGATTAACAGGTCCGCTGCCTTGTGGCCTAGATTACCAGGTCTGTTGTCTTGTGGTCTATTTTACCATGTCTGCTGTCTTGTGGTCTAGATTACCAGGTCTGCTGCCTTGTGGCCTTGATTAACAGGTCTGCTGCCTTGTGGCCTAGATTACCAGGCCTGCTGCCTTGTGCCTAGATTACCAGATCTGCCTCCTTGTGGCTTAGATTACCAGATCTGCTGCCTTGTGGCCTAGATTACCAGGTCTGCTGCCTTGTGGCCTAGATTTCCAGATCTGCTGCCTTGTGGCCTAGATTACCAGGTCTGCTGTCTTGATGTGGCCTAGATTACCAGGTCTGCTGCCTTGTGGTCTAGATTACCAGATCTGCAGCCTTGTGGTCTAGATTACCAGGTCTGCTGTCTTGTGGTCTAGATTTTTCAGGTCTGCTGCCTTGTGGCCTAGATTACCAGGCCTGCTGCATTGTGGCCTAGATTACCAGGTCTGCTGCATTGTGGCCTAGATTACCAGGTCTGCTGCCTTGTGTTACCAAGTCTGCTGTCTTGTGGCCTAGATTACCAAGTCTGCTGCCTTGTGGCCTAGATTACCAGATCTGCTGTCTTTATGTGGCCTAGATTACCAAGTCTGCTGTCTTGTGGCCTAGATTACCAGATCTGCTGCCTTGATGTGGCCTAGATTACCAAGTCTGCTGTCTTGTGGCCTAGATTACCGGATCTGCTGCCTTGATGTAGCCTAGATTACCAAGTCTGCTGTCTTGTGGCTTAGATTACCAGGTCTGCAGCCTTGTGGCCTAGATTACCAGGTCTACTGCCTTGTGGTCTAGATTACCAAGTCTGCTGTCTTGTGGCCTAGATTACCAAGTCTGCTGCCTTGTTGTGGCCTAGGTTACCAAGTCTGTGGTCTTGTGGTCTACTGTTTGCAGTTTCTAGATACTGTGAGGTTTTACAATTGAAGATACTGGACTTTTGTTTTCCTACCACGTGCTGCCCCCTCCCCCCAATTTTTTATCTGAGCAGAATAATAGGGGGACTTCATATTTGTTTACATTTTTTCTTCAAATCCTAGCTGAATTCTGGAATTTAAATCTGATAACTTCAGAGCTTAAAAGCTATATAAATTCTATCTTGATATACATAAGTGAATCATGGACAGTTTGTAGATATGTGAACATTTATTTCGAAGCGGCGGGGATGTGGTTTTATAGACAAATTATGAGAATACCCTGTACAGATAAAAAGAGTAATGAGGACGTCTTGAAAGAAACCAGTTCACAAAGAGAACTGATTGTCCACATCAGAAAGAGACAATCTGCATTTTGTAATCATGTGATGAGAAGAAAAAGAAAATTGGAGTGCATTGTGACAGTAGGAAAGTTGGAGGGGAGGAGAGGCAGAGGGAGATCGAGAGAACAGATGCTAGACAGTTCGACATCATGGAATAACAGATCACCTGTGTCAGAGTTAATTGAAAGTAGATGAGACAGAAGGTTGTGTATAGACATGACTACCAAAGGCCACACAGAAGAAGAACTTCAGAGCTCGAGGCAGACACCATCATTCCTCAGCCATCCTCTCTTTTTAACACAATGAAGAATGAAAACCCGCCTGGTGACTGCATTGGCAAGCAGGCATTAATTCCCATTGCCTTGTTTTGTTTCATAAATGAAACTAACCAGTCAGCACCCATTGAACAGCCCATATTTCATTGTGAGGTCAGACATGTCAACAATAAACAGAGGGAATAGTTGAGTCCTCATAAATCACCATGTAAACAATAAACAGGGGGAATAGCTGAGCCTTCCAGGAATCCTGATGTGCCCAATTCACACACCAGCATACTGCCATCATTTATACTTCACCTTCTGGAAAGGGAAATCTGGGAAACAGATTTTTAAAGAGGTTGGGTGTGTTTGCTGAAAAGGCCTCAGATGAAAGCAGAACAGACAGAGAAGTACAACTTCACCTTGACACTGCAAGAAGAAGCAGATCAGTTGAGATAGTATCGTTTGTTGTTCCAGGTACCATTGAGTACCAGGACAAAAATGGGCAGAACCCCAGCCAGAGAAATGTCACCTTCATGCTCAACTGTAACGTGTCTGTTGACATCCAGGATTCTGACATGTAAGTAGTTGTTTTTATTTATCAGACTCTTTAAACCCTAAAAGACGACTAATCAGGGCAGTTAAATTTGAAGTCGGAGGCAAGAACCAGCAGTCTGCTTATAAATTAACCAGATCTGTAAAATGGATGTGCACACAAGACTCAAGTTCTGGAACAGAATTGGAGGAACAGCCAGAACTTGCCTCTGGAGTTTACAGCTGGGGAAGCACTAAGAAGAAGAAGGCTCCTCTCATAGCATCAGATCAATAATGAAATAGGAAGAACCTCTGTACCTTGAGGAAGAAGATCCTTAATTAGTTGCTTTTTTTTTTACAATTCGTTCGTTAAGGAATAGTGGGTTCTGCCCTCTCCCCCACCCCAAATGGTCCTCCAGGACTCGCACTCAAGAATCACATTAATATTTGTTAAACTACCACATTAATATCCCAAGAAACTCTGTATGGAAGATTCTCAGGATATCATGGACAACGTAGAGAAGTATTGTTGACATTTTAAAAGATCTGAACCTCAAGGAAGATTGGTTAATAAATGATTGTAACTGGACTCACAGAGCATGTTGAGAAAGGTGGAGACAGTCATGCTTCATGCAGAGTGTCAAGCATCACTTCAGAAGTCCCGGGTAGTAGCATCCTTTGGATATTTTTTCCAGGTCATGCCAGTATGTTGGAAAATGAGCAGGCAGATAGACTGTCTGGCTCTCACCACTTGGTGGTGAATTGAATGTATTACAAGCTGTGAGGGCCCTTTACGGTCTAAGCAGAATGGCGCTGCGAGGAGTTACCAGGGGATCTGGCCGATGCTAAATGCTCAGGGGAAGGATGAGATGGATATACAATTAGACGGTTACTGGTATCATTGGAATTAGAACTCTTCGCTTGATGCTGAAGATGGGGACTAAGCACTTATGGGAGTGTCCCGAATGCTGTGATGTTGATTCTTATTTCCGTATTCAACATTTTGACTAATAAACGGCATCTTGTTTTGAAAGCTGAAATATTTTGGTCATATCAAGCGCCATGGAGGATTTAAAAAAAATAATAGCAGAAGGCATGGTACCATGAAGGAGAGGCAGGAGCTGACCAACATGAAGATGGGCACAGGATATAAGTGACTCCTTGAGTATGAAATGAAAGTACACAGGACGGGAGAGCTGGCGAGAGACAGTTTCTTTCAAGCGGTGATCAGAGCGATGTTTTGCAAAGGACGACTTGTTTCATGATGATGATAATATTAGGTTAAATTTACACCTAAAACAAGAAGACGAATTGGACCTAAGGTGCCTCTACACCTCAAAGAGAAAGAGGTTAGGTTAGGTAGAAGTGAAATAACACCTAAATAATCTGTCCGCCCCAGAATGATAGAACAATATCGCCATCTTCATAGGAACTGTGGCTGAGCTCTCGTTACCTTCTCTAACGCTTTTGCCCCAGGAACACTCAAAACAGGTTATGACCCTCTCAGAATTCCGGAAACAAATTCGTTAACAATTTTTTGGTAAAAACAGTTGTTACTAAATTAATTTTTTAAAATATAGAAATAAATGTGAAATAAAGCATTAAACATGACTTTGTTGTAGTTTCAACTTTACTGCAATCAGGTCGCCCCCATGCTTGCTCTGTTTCTATGCTAGTGAAAATGAAATGTCCGTCACTGTCGCATTTGAAAAACTGGTGAACAAATATATTGAGTCTAGGCACAATCCAGAAATTTGTGCACGCAGTAAATGCAGATGGCAGTTGCTAGAGGCGCCAAGGCCAACACTCACCACCAGAAATGCAGTAAACAGGAACAGTGTAAAGTGTTAAATTAAATGTATTATTCTCTTTTTTTCTGCCACCCACCCCCCCCCCCCCCCACCCCCCCCCCCCCCCCCTTTCCTATTTTTTTATTTCTTGAGTTGCCTCATTGAAGTGTTGTTTGCTTTGGGGAGGGGGGAATCTTCAGAATGATTTAATGTGTTGCATAAATTGATCTAGGATTTTGTGTGTGTGTGGCTATTCTTGATGCTTTGTTTGAAAACGTGTCCTGCAGAAACACCACAGACTGGCCACAGAAGCTGACCATACAGTTGCTGCCGCAGGCTATGTTGACTGGCCTGCAGCAGCAGTGCAAGAACTCCAGACAAGTCTTCTTCCACTTCCCCAACAGCAACACTAACCCAAACCCTGAAGCCCTGAAGAACCTGTACACCCTGATGGGGCATGGATTTGTAAGTTCTGGCTCTATTTCTTTTGAAATAATTTTTTAATTTGATTCACTTGATATGAGGCGGCTTCATTCACTGCACTGGGTCCTCATTTGCCAATAAATTTATGTAGGTTTCACCCCTTCACTTATTTTTTTTTTTTTTATGGATAACATAATGCTGCTCCTCTTTGGTGCATGACAGAAGGAGTGTGGCCATCTTTAAATTGTCTTTGTGACTTCATCGTGGTCTTCTGCACCATGATGTCACTGCTTAACACTCTTGACATCCTTTACAACGAAATTAACAGGTAACAAGACAATGGCATGGGTGTAATAATTTCTGTCAGATTAACATGGGAAGCTCCATCATACATCTGTTTACTGTTAACATTTGTGTTTTGTATGTTTTTAGGCAAAGTGGCTCTTATATCTTACTTTGTGCAAATTTTTGTTCAAGAAATGCATAGAGGTGTATAGAAAAAGCAGATGGACATCCCTTAATGCAGTATAGTCTGGCATATGGTACTACAACATCTTGTTTGAGATTGGAGGTGGAGGCAGTCACAGCAGCCTACCACTGGCTTGAGAACCAGATGTACACACTTGATGTGATTGTCACTGACTGACAGAGCATGTTGAGAAAGGTAGAGACAGGTATGCTCCATGCAGACTGGCAAGTATAGTGTCAGAGGTGCTGGGTAGTTGGGATCCTTTAGATATTTTGTTCCAGGGTATGCCAATGTGTTGGGAAATGAACTGAGAGATAGACTGGCCAGTTCTGCACCACTTAATGGTAGATTGTAACATGACAAGCTAGATGTTTTCAAGGCCCTTTAGGGTCGAGTGAACGGTGTGGATATGTAAGTGTAGGACTGTATGTAATGTATCTACCCCTCACATATAGAGGATATTTAAGTGTAGGACTGTATGTAATGTATCTACACCTCACATGTAGAGGATATGTAAGTGTAGGACTTATGTAATGTGTCTGCACCTTACATATAGAGGGTATATGAGCCAGGGACTATATATAATGTCTTCACCTCACATGTAGAGGATATATAAGTGTAGGACTGTATGTAATGTGTCTATACCACACATATAGAGGATATTTAAGTGTAGAACTGTATGTAATATGTCCTAACCTCAAATTTACAGGCAGGTTGCGTGAGTTTCCCTCCAACGTCAGACATCAGAATCATCCTGCTCATGTACAGTGCCAAAAAGAAGTCTTTCATTGGTCTGATCCCTAATGACCAGGCAGGCATTGTTCAAGGGATTAAAACAGTCATCACACGTCACAGATACAAATCTGTAGGTATCATCAGCAATTTCTCATCATTGGCTTCACTCATTTCAGACATAAATATGTGTCAGTGGTAGCAACATCTCATCATTGGCTTCACTCATTTGAGACATAAATATGTGTCAGTGGTGGCAATATTTCATCATTGGCTTCAATCATTTCAGACATAAATATGTGTCAGTGGTAGCAACATCTCATCATTGGCTTCACTCATTTCAGACATAAATATATGTCAGTGGTAGCAACATCTCATCATTGGCTTCACTCATTTAAGACATAAATATATGTCAGTGGTAGCAACATCTCATCATTGGCTTCACTCATTTCAGACATAAATATATGTCAGTGGTAGCAACATCTCATCATTGGCTTCACTCATTTAAGACATAAATATGTGTCAGTGGTAGCAACATCTCATCATTGGCTTCACTCATTTAAGACATAAATATGTGTCAGTGGTAGCAACATCTCATCATTGGCTTCACTCATTTAAACCATAAATATGTGTCAGTGGTAGCAACATCTCATTATTGGCTTCACTCATTTCAGACATAAATATATGTCAGTGGTAGCAACATCTCATCATTGGCTTCACTCATTTCAGACATAAATATATGTCAGTGGTAGCAACATCTCATCATTGGCTTCACTCATTTAAGACATAAATATGTGTCAGTGGTAGCAACATCTCATCATTTGCTTCACTCATTTAAGACATAAATATGTGTCAGTGGTAGCAACATCTCATCATTGGCTTCACTCATTATGGACATAAATATGTGTCAGTGGTAGCAACATCTCATCATTGGCTTCACTCATTTAAGCCATAAATATGTGTCAGTGGTGGCAACATCTTATCATTGGCTTCACTCATTTAAGCCATAAATATGTGTCAGTGGTGGCAACATCTTATCATTGGCTTCACTCATTTAAGCCATAAATATGTGTCAGTGGTGGCAACATCTTATCATTGGCTTCACTCATTTAAACCATAAATATGTGTCAGTGGTAGCAACATCTCATCATTGGCTTCACTCATTTAAGACATAAATATGTGTCAGTAGTGGCAATATTTCATCATTGGCTTCACTCATTTAAGACATAAATGTGTGTCAGTGGTGGCAACATTTTATCATTGGCTTCACTCATTATGGACATAAATATATGTCAGTGGTAGCAACATCTCATCATTGGCTTCACTCATTTAAGACATAAATATGTGTCAGTGGTAGCAACATCTCATCATTTGCTTCACTCATTTAAGACATAAATATGTGTCAGTGGTAGCAACATCTCATCATTGGCTTCACTCATTATGGACATAAATATGTGTCAGTGGTAGCAACATCTCATCATTGGCTTCACTCATTTAAGACATAAATATATGTCAGTGGTAGCAACATCTCATCATTGGCTTCACTCATTATGGACATAAATATGTGTCAGTGGTAGCAACATCTCATCATTGGCTTCACTCATTTAAGACATAAATATATGTCAGTGGTAGCAAC